ACTCTGGGATGAGACCAGAAGGCCCAGTAGTAAGTGTTCATTGAAGTAAAGGGCTTTTAACAGAGACTTCCACAAATGGGTCTCAGGTACCATCAATACCCATCAATTGTGTCTTTGAGTATGTGATTTGAAACTTTACCCTGGTTTTTTTAATTTGTAAAATAAAATACAGACCCAACTGTTCTTACAAGAATCTCAGAAGGTCAAATTACTGATTAATTATGGGCACAGAATTTCATGGAGATTACTTTTATATTTGATATGATTTCAACAAACCTGTCAAACAAGTTAAGTCTAAATATTGGAAGTTCTTATTTTTTAACTTAAAAGATGGCAAATGGAATCTGAATAAAACAATTTAATTCATTAAAAACTCATACAGTATTCCACAATTGTGTTTGACATGCACAAATCTCCAACACCAGATGCCCAATGTGACAAGTTTCTGACAGGCTTCCAGTCCTCCACATCAGAGCCAATGTGTACAGCCTGCTGGCAGTTTCCCCGATCAACTATGAAGACACCAGAAGAGAAAATGGAAGCCTGTGGATTTAAGAGGGGCACTCAAAAACAAAGCAGCATTTGTGTAAAATTTATAAGGAAGTGGAGGTTTGGTAGTTAAAGTTAGACAGCGGCCTCAGGTGGGGCAGCTCAGGGTCCTTTTGGGAGACAGCTGGTATACTTCTGAGTCCCAGCATGACCCGTGGAATACCATTTTCTGTCTTTCTTCAAAACAGGGTAGAATATTCCTTCAACTGTCCCCATACAATGACTATAGAGGGAAGATGCCCTGGAATAGGGAAGAATTAGGAAATGTTCTGGGAAATAGCGCCAAAAAAAATAGTCAAGCACAGATGTTAACACCAGAGGCTCTTCACCCCCCTAAACTCCTCAGAGAAATACTCTAGGACCTAAGGTCTGCTCCTCCATTCTGATGGCCATTACTCACCAACGCAACTCCTATACCCTAGAGTGTAAAAGGTGAGTTGGGGGCTGATAGTGGTACAGCAGTAAAAGTATACTCTATTAAGATGGTCTAAATGAGAAGGTTCCAGGTTTGTCTGGAGACCTCCCCAAGTACTCTGAGCATAGGCACAGTCATTCTCTGTGACTGGCTGAGGTTGGGGGTGGATCACAACACCAAGATCCTGTTGAGGGTGCTGTCTCTCTGTCTCTCTGTTCTGTTTCTCTCATTCGTGAAAAAAATAGATAAAAGATTGAAAAATTAAAATTAAAAAATGAGGAGTTCATAGAGAAAAGTGACATAGCTGAAGTGAACATAAACTTTATGAAAAATAAAAAAATAAAATAAATAGAACAACCAATTGTAGAAGTTAGAATGCATACTGAAAAGAATGCATTTAATCTAGTTGGAGTTTATATTTGTTAAGATTTCTCCAAATATGAGCTAATGCTTCACAAATATTTACTAAACAATCTACTCTTCTTCCTTATAATAAATTCTGTCATAGACCAAGTTCAGATATGTAATTGGTTAAAGCTTTATGTGTTCAGATATATATGTGTCGGTTAAAAAATAAAAAAGATTGTAAAATGCAATATAGTATTAAATTTATGGAAGAAATTTTTTAGACTATACATTTATCTCAGATTGGAAAGATATCTACCTTACATTGTAAAAGGTTTTAGAAGACAAAGTTCAAAATGCACAAACCATTATGAAAAAAATATGAACAGAAAAATATTTCTATTCCTCAAATGTCACTCTGTGCCAAGATAACAATGAGAGCAGCCTGGAAAAAGACATTAATGAGAAATTGCTATCTAGATACAAAGGGACTTCAAATAGTTCACAGAAAAAGGGAATTAAAATATGAGTTTGTGCTGGTACAAAACAACTTCAAAATCCTTGCACAGATTTTTTTTTTTTGAGAGATCTTCACTATAGGGCGCGTGCGCTAGCCAGACAGACAGAGACAGACATAGAGACAGAAAGCAAGAAATCACCCCCCAGGGGGGATGGTCACGCCGCAATCCCTTCTCCTCCATTCTCCTCTCGGGATCTTGGGCATGCACACACACACGCCCAGCGTGAGTTTTAAGCCACCGGGTCCGGGACGCGAATCGCGGTCGACTACGTGGGAGTCCAGCGACATAGCCATTACGCTAACTGCTGGTTCCCCAGATTTTTCATAGTACACATTTTCCATGAAATTTTGGAAGACCTTTTGTGGGGTCTGAGTTGCTCTGAGTTGCTCTGAGTCAGCTGGAAGGAATAAGACCAATATGACACAGGTAAACACGAGAATTGGCAACTCTGAAGGGATCTAAAAGGCTAATAAAAGATGTCTACCCTTGGAACCAGCAGATGGCATAGCAGTTATGTTGCTGGATTCCCACATGGGTGACTGCCATTCGAGTTTCGGACCGGGTGGCTTGAAAAGTCACACAGGGCACATGTGCATATGTGCCTAAGATCCTGGGAAAAGAATGGAGGAAAAGGAACTGTGATGTGGCCGTCCCCGCTCGGGGGTTATGTCCTAAGTTTAACTGGAAAGACACACATTAAATACACTGGAGAAAGTGTCTGTGTAGGAAAGAAAGTAGAATGAATTTTAAAGGGAAAATAGTTAAAACAAAACAGAATAGGTATCTTGCATGAAAAATATTAATATCATACTATTTATTATACATGCATTCACTCATTCATTTGGCAAATATGCATTGAGTGCCTCCTTGTGCTTCATAAACACACCAGGATTACATAGGTGAGTGCACCAACAGGGCTCCTCTCCGGCAATTTCATGCTGGTGGAGTAGAACGAGGGTTGTAAGAGAACCAGTTGGGTTCCTGTGATTTTAACAGAAATTGTGATGGTAATGAGAATGAGGATGATAGTACATCTGAAGTAACAGACATCCAAATTTAATAATTCCCAAACTTCAGTAGCATATGCATGCATGTGCACACACATATACATGGATGCAGAAAGGAAACAGTAGCACCCGATTAGCTATTTTTTTTTTCTAGAAATACCATTCATGATAATAGGTTTCTCCCCTGAGGCCAAACAGCTATCTAGTCCAGATAGTCAAAGACAAAGAAGGGTTCCTTCGAAGGGGAGCTAGTCAGTGCAAAGTGGGGACTTCACCCAGCCCCTGCCACTTTAGGTGCTGCCTTCAAAGCTACATAGAAGAAACGTTTTTAATGAAATCTTCCCAAGTAATCTGCACTTCAAATTTCGTGAAACCTGCCCAGGTGATCTGGGCATTTGCAGGACAAAGCAGTGGCTTTGCAATCTCAGAAAGTGGCTCAGGAGTGTATCTGTATTGGTGCTAGCAGACAATTGAGGTGGTGGGTTAGGGTGGAGAGAAGGAGAATTAGAATACCCTCTGAAGATAGGACCTAACCTCAAGTTTGAGACTAAGACATCTCTATTTTTTTTTTTTTTTTTTTTTTTTTTGAGAGATTTTCACTGTAGGGCGCTTGCGCTCGCCAGACAGACAGAGAGAGACATAGAGACAGAAAGCGAGAAATCACCCCCCAGGGGAGATGGTCACGCCGCAATCCCTTCTCCTCCATTCTCCTCTCGGGATCTTGGGCACGCACACACACGCGCCCGGCGTGAGTTTTAAGCCACCGGGTCCGGGACACGAGCCGCGGTCGACTACGTGGGAATCCAGCGACATAGCCATTACGCTAACTGCTGGTTCCCAAGACATCTCATTTTTAAGAATCCTCAATTTAATTTCTGAGAAGAGGTGCTCGTTTCTTTTAAGACCTCCTTACTTGGTATTTCTCTCTTTCTTAGACACTTACTATCCTGGATGGCTCATTCATTCCATGTTCCTCCCTTCCACCACCTCACGTATTTTGCTGTTTCTCCCAGATAAGAGACATAATTAAAAATCACCCAGACTATGGACAATGGCTGAGGCTAGAGATGAGCTGAGATTTCCAGACGAAAATATGCTTACTTTCTCATGATCAGTCAATGCACAGCACTTAAAGCCTGCAGACACAGGGTTTTGTTGTTTTTTTTTTTTTTTTTTTTTTTTTTTTTTTTTTTTGGTTTTTT